GGAATTCATTTGTTTAGTCAATTACCAAAATTTGGATGATTTTGAATATTCACTTGAAAAGTTATCAAAGAAAAACATTTTTCATTTTGTAACTTCGAGGGCCCGTAACTTGGTTACGAAGACTTTTAGGAAAAAAAGTTATATGAAGTACTGGTGATATTTTGACCCCATCTATACATTCCCGAGAGGAAAAGAGGAAGTCCAGGGACACCCTGTATATGTTGGAAATATCATCTTGTCATATACCTTCAACAAATTTCAATAAAACATGAATTAGTTTCTCCAGCATCCTTTATTTTCAATAAATTACTGATTTGATTATCACAAAAACCTCCTCGAAACATAAGTATATATATTAGAGATTATTCGTACTAGAAACTGACGTATCCCTTCTTGTTCATATTCTTCGATGTCTGTTTCGTCTTCACTGTCTTCTTCGCTTTCCTCAATATAATCGTAACAATCTTCATCGTCTTCATCTTCTTCATCTACCTCCTCTACATCGTTACTTTAGTTCATCATTTCTTAACAGGTCCAAGAATGGCCTTAGAATCTCATTTCTGGGATATTACATTCGAAAGTGTTTGGACTCATGTTTCGACAATACTTATAATTAATTCAATAATATCTTCTAATACATTGTTTTTCGATTGCAAAGTCAATGAGAATAGATCTTTTTGTCAACTGATCAACAACTAAATTTGAAGGTATTGAACGAAAGTCATTTTTCTGTGGAAGAAATCAGAGTTTTTCATCAACTTTCTTCAGATTTTCCACCTTCCACAATCTGAAAAATTATGATAGAGAACTTTACAGATATGAATTCCATTTTTTTATAAAGAAAAANAAGTCATTTTTCTGTGGAAGAAATCAGAGTTTTTCATCGACTTTCTTCAGATTTTCCACCTTCCACAATCTGAAAAATTATGATAGAGAACGTTACAGATATGAATTCCATTTTTTATAAAGAAAAATGTTTTATTCATCAGTATCTTGTCGTTTTCAATAATTTTTACCAAAAAGAGATGAAAAGTTATACAAATAGTCAACGTTTCAATGGCAAAAATCTGCCCCGTCTTGGAAAAAAATCTAATGATAATGATAATGATGACACCGGATGACGAAATGATGTATGTGATCAAATTGGCTGATACTTAAAAATCCATAACGTATTCAAGTAACACTTCATTGTGAGTTTTTTACTGAACAGTTTACAAAATCGCAATACGTGTTTCACTCATTCTACAACAGCTTCCTGGATATAGGAGGGCGACAGATGGTTAACGGAGAAACAAACTTTGAAAATAAGATAAATCCGGGACCATGATTATCAAGACCAGTGCCCATCTCTAGATGGAGTTCCTAATACCCCAGTAGGGAGACTAATCTTCATATCGTTGAATAATAATGCAATTCGAACCTTGCAGAATCGAAACCCGACTGTTTTACATTCACAATAAAACGAAATTATTATTATTCCCTATCGACTAACTGCTGACTGAAAAATGAATCCTCGCGGATTCAATCATCCAAACACTAGTGGTCGTTCCTGAAAGGCAAATTATGTCCTATGCCAGAGTTTCCTTCGGGTTCTTAGGTTGGTAACGCAGCTTCATGTCACCGCTGTCCAAATGACATGGGACTCCAAAAGTTCTTCACCTCCTGGCGGGTTGTTCTGGGAGCAAATGGGAGAGGTAAAAAAATCAAATCACCGTTAAATTATCCTCCAAGAATGTTGTGTTTTTTCGAACGGTTATTGTGGTGTAACGAATAGTTTCTATAGTAGGTCCTCTCCACAACCAAATGTAACCAAGATATTTCAGAGATGGTCGTAGATATCTCCAACTTATTTGCCAATTTTAATTGCATGTTTATCGTTCTCCTCTATATACACAGAATGGAACTGCTGATAATAATAGTTCCGAAAAACAATATAATTGTACTTCATTTTATATCGATTGTATTATCAACCGTTTCATGAATATTCAATTAGGATATACTCTCTAGATTGCAAGTCGCGAGGGCTAAAATGTTACATTTTCGAATAACAAAAAGAAAGTTACGGAAGCAAAGTTTCGCGGCTTACACACTAATTTCGCATGAAAACCATAGAAATATCATCTCATATCTGTCTGTTTAAATCTGTTTAAAATCTGTTTTTCCGTTAACCAGCTGTCTTATGCCAGAGTTTCCTTCGGGCTCTAAGGTTGGTAACGCAGCTTCATGTCACCGCTGTCCAAATGACATGGGACTCCAAAAGTTCTTCACCTCCTAGCGGGTTGTTCTGGAAGCAAATGGGAGAGGTAAAAAACTAAAATCACCGTTGTATTATCCTCCAAGAATGTTGTGTTTTTTCGAACAGTTATTGTGGTGTAACGAATAGTTTCTATAGTAGGTCCTCTCCACAACCAAATGTAACCAAGATATTTTAGAGATGGTCGTAGATATCTCCAACTTATTTGCCAATTTTAATTGCATGTTTATCGTTTAACTGCTGATAATAATAGTTCCGAAAAACAATATAATTGTACTTCATTTTATATCGATTGTATTATCAACCGTTTCATGAATATTCAATAAGGATATACTCTCTAGATTGCAAGTCGCGAGGGCTAAAATGTCACATTTTCGAATAACAAAAAGAAAGTCTTTGAAGTTACGGAAGCAAAGTTTCGCGGCTTACACACTAATTTCGCATGAAAACCATAGAAATATGATTTCATATGATTGTTAAAATGAATTTCTAATTCATTTTTAATATTTTCCGACCGGTTACCGGCTACCGACCGGCCGGTTCGACGTGGGTGCTTTGTTTACTCACTCAAATCGACCGCCGTGTTGGTCGGTGGTTCAAGCCCCAGACACTTGCTGTCCAACCCGTGTTAGGAATCACACGTTAAAAGGTGAAACCTCGTTAGTTCTTAGCTCGCTACTACTAAGGGTTGTCGTTCGTAGGGATGCGACAGCTGGCTAACGGAAAAACAGATTTTAAACAGAATAGACAGATTACACTGCTTTCTCAAGACTCCATCTCAAAACAACCCAAAACTCAAAGCACACACATGCGGAGTCAACAACTGCATATTTGAAGCACCTAGTAGTTAAATTCATACACAATTATCTGATGTACAGAAAATGTACAGATGTACAGATGATGTAAAAAAGTTAAGGTTCATCAACCGAATATATCAAAATGTAATGTACGAGAAAGCATTTTGTACCAAAAAATTATGATGAAAAATGAGAAATCAGTTTTAATTCTCATTTTTGATGCTGATCTACTAACACGTAGTGACGGCTACATACATCAATTCATTTAACAATTATGGCATTGATAGATAGATATAGGTACATTTACCANTGATTAGTCCGATGTTTTTTAAGCCAATTCTATAAATAGATTATTCATCTCACTGGAAAAATATTCGATTTTTAATCATTTCACTGTTGGACAACTAAGAAAACTACAAGTGGACGGGTATATCAATTCAATTATTTGTTCAGTTCATTGATAATCTGTTGAAATATGTTTTTCGTTAACCAGATGTTGCCCCCCTACGAAATATAAATCTCAAGTCGAAACTTGTTCGACTCAAGGATTAAACGAGTCTTATCTTAGGAATCACACGTTAAGAAGTAAGACCTCGCACAAGTTTCGACTTTAGAGGGTTGTCGTTCGTAGGGGTGCGACAGCTGGTTAACGGAAAAACAGATTTTTTTAACAGACAGACACGTGTGATTCCTAGCACGAGCAGTTTTATGATGGAATTGGCCGATAATAATTGATGAAAATCCATAACTAACGTATTCAAAAAACACTTTATTGTAAGATTTTCACTAAACAGTTTTACAAAAACGCAACATGTGTTTCGCCAATGGCTGACACCCCTGAAGAAGCAATTGCATGACGAAACACGTGTTGCGTTTTTGTAAAACTGCTCAGTGAAAATCTCACAATGAAGTGTTTTCTGAATACGTTACATGTGGGTGAATTCTAAAGAGGCACTTCTCTCAAACGTTGGAACTGCAACATTCTTCTCGACGTGCCTTACACCAACCAAGTTGGCGTCAGTAGAATAAAGTATGATAGGTTTCAATTCTATCTGTCAATAATATATAGGTAATTTATGTAATAAACAATTCTAACTATGGTGATCCGTACTCAAGGTATGCAAGGCAAAATGCAAGTTCTCCAGCAGTAAAATAATATGAAATCGAATATTTTTCCAGTGAGATGAATAATCTTATTATATAATTGACTTATAAAACATTGGTTTAATCATCACTTGGGTTGCGTGATATTTTTTTATTGAAAAAAGTATAAACCATATACCATAAACCATATATTAGCATTACGGTATATGTTACTTGTTAATGATTTGAACTCAGAAAACAAGTTGTTCAACAGTGTTTTCTCCAAAGACGAAAGGTTTTCATGGAACAATGGGACAAAATTACGGATATTTCGAAATACGAAACAATGTTTCGATAGTTTACCTAAAATATAATGTGCTTGTTCCAAGATAGTTGAGCATCAATGTTCAAACCTAAAAATTTCATGAAGTTTGTTGTATTGTCTTGCTATTTATTTTTACCAGAACAGTGCGATCATTCTCTTTCAGTGAATAGACAATTGTATTAGTTTTAGAGCTGTTGCGAATGAGACCATTTTGAAAACAATATTTTTGCATATTAGCAACTGCTTGATTGGCCTGACAGGACCCAGTTTAACCCTCACAGTTTGCGTTCTGCAATTCAAATGAGATATCAACCAATCCAGAGATGAGCCACGTATTCAGCTTGCTCAAAAGTAGATAGCGATCAATATTGTCGAAAGCTCGTGACAAGTCGGAAAGAATATTTGGAACACTTATTGTTTTTTTCATCTCTATCAAGATTAGAAATAACGTCATTGACTGAATTCAACGTGGCATCCTAAGTGGGTTTGCCAATTTAAAAGCCATATTGACATTCTGGGATGATTTTATACTTCTTGCGAAAAAAGAGAGGAGTCTCCTTTGATAAGAATATTTAGAAAAATACAGATAGTAACGGAATTCTTCTGTAATTGGAAACCGAGTGCTTGTCATTTTTCTAATGAATAACTATTATTGCATGTTTGAGTCGAGATGGAAATGTACCTTCAACAAATTTTCAACCACCTTGAACAGAATGTTGCTAGGTACTTTATCCTTGCCAGTGAAAGTCTTATATGAACTAACAAAATCGAACACGTAAATACGTCTTACCTCTTTTCCGTAGTTCTTCAATTAGTAAAACGCACTCTTCGTGTTTTTTCCTTCTTGCAATATTCAGAGCACGTCCTTTTTCACTTTTCGAATAGTTATAAAGAGAAATGGGAATATCACTTTCAGTCAGAAGTTTTATCGCCTGAGGAACATTATGAATACAAGCTATGATGAGGGGGGTATTTTCGTTATCAGTAACAGCATTTACGTTAGCTCTATATTGAACAAGAACTTGAATAACTTCAATTTTCTTTCTTTTGATAGCATGATGTAGGGAAGTCCATTTATTATGATCAGTTGCATTGATGTCAGCCCCTTTTCTCAATAGCAATTCAACAATTTTAACTCTTCCCCAGCTCGATGCTTTGATCAATGGAGTAGCACCATAGGTTGTTCTAACTTCTAGTTCAGCTCCCCACTCAAGAAGTTTCTCTGCAAATTTGTTAGACCCTTTTGAGGCAGCGAAATGTAAAGCAGTCATTTTGTTTATGTTTCCAATATTGATATTGGCTCCGTTGTTTTTCAGTAATTCAGCCATTCCTAAGTTTCTCTTCAACACACTCAAAATGAATGGGGTATTGCCCTGACTACAGCATGAATCCACTTCTATTCCAGGGTGTTTTAAAATATTTTCAACCCAAACTCTATAACCTTGATTAACAAACGAATGAAGATGGCTCCAACCTCTGGCGTTTTTGAGATTGAAGAAAGTAGCCGAGTATTTTCCTAATCTATGGAAAATATACCGAACTGGTAAGTTTTCTTTCGGGCATGCCAAATGTAGAGGTGTATTCTGTTCTCTATCTACTCCCCAACTTCCAATTTCACTAACAGCTTTTATCAATTGTTTTACCGCTTTTAAATTTTTATACTTTACTGCCAAATGAAGTAAACTCATCCCGGTTTGATGTTCTCTTATCTAAAAATGAAGTATATTAATTTTTTGTTATTTTCGTACAAGAAATGAACCACCTGAATGAGTGAATCCTGAATATTCTGCAAATTTATTGTTGAAAATATCTTGTTGAAATTATTTTTAATGGAATGGAATAATATGAAATAAATGCAATCACGATTAATAGTGGAGAAAAATCTTCTGCTTGTCAAGTTATCTAGCGCCACCTCAAGTTCTTCCAGAGACCCAGACATTATAGCATAATCAAGAGGATTTTTGCCCAAAAATAAGTCGGTCTTGATCAACTGAGAAGACGAACATGATGAAAGAGCGCTCTTCCTGATTGAATTGAGTTTGGATTCTTCAGCCAAGTCAGGTACTTTCAGTAATATCAGCTCATTTTTTCTTTCAATAGCAACCAGTTCATCATAATTTTGCAATTTTTGTTTCATCTCTGAGCCACTATATATATGAAATCGTTTACCGTAACTCAGCAGAATATGGTATATAGTTCTACCCAAAATATCAGTTTCATTCCCTTCTCTCAAAATTACGTCAATTTGAGCAACGTTATTGAAAATCGACGAATGTGGTTGATTATATTTTGTCAATATTTTATCGAAAAACAATCGAACATTCGTCAGTTCTGGGCAATATAGAAGTTTCAGAATTTCCTTTACGTCAAATGGAGTTTCTTTTTTTATTTGTTTGGTGACAGTATCAGCCAACCATTTGGCAGCCAAAAATTCAGCATAAGTTTTGTGACTAAACAGTGGAAAATTATCGTTTTGTATCTGAGTGACGATTGCAGTCTTTTTGTGCATTTCTTCAAAGACCTTAATTTGGCTGTCGAATTCATCCCAGTCGACGAGCTTTTTCATACATTTTTTTGAAAAAAAGGAGTAAAGAGCTAGTTTCGATAGGATGTTAAAAATAAATTCATGGTTTTTGGAGTAATGTTGAACTATTTGCAGAGTTATGAACTTTTCGTATAAATATTCTACTCGAATATAATTCTCAGTGATCTTCTCGTTAAAATTTACTACCTCTGCCAACATCATTGTCTGCTGACAAATACCTATGAAAGAATTTTCCAACCTTTCCCTGGTTTTAGCCACCAAACTCATTTTTTTCTCAACCTCTTCACTTTCATTATCCTCACCAAAAAATTTCCTAAAGAACTTGTCTTGATCGTTGACAGTGAACTCATTTAGCTCCAGGGACCACACTCCAAAATTTGCTTCTAGTTCCATTTTAAGTTGTGGCCTACCAACTATCCAGATTCGCCATCTTTTTTCAGTAGCAATTTTTAAAATTTTCAATATCTTTCTTTCATTTATTTCTTCGTAGTCGTCTATTAAAATTACTATTTTTCTATGGTCAATGCTGTATTGATATAATAATTTGAAAATACTCCTATAACTTTCATCAACTGTTTTCATTTCGATTTTACGAATAAATTCTACGAATCCATTGAAGTCGACTAACTTTTTTATATCATTTGAAAATCTTCCCAACTCCAATTGAACAACCCACTCCGTGGGAGAGAATAAGTTACTGATGTGATTTAAAAACGCCGTTTTTCCCATCCCTGCATTGTTGCAAATGATATTGATTTTTGAATTTTTATTACTTTCGAATAATTCACTATCATCTAACTGATAGAACTCATTTTCACATACACTATCTTTGAAATCATCTGAAGTAACGTTTGTATCCTTAACAATAAATCGATTTTTCAAATCATGCGTCTTATAGACAAACTGAAGTATACAATAAAGACCAACTCTGGGTATTTTTTTGAGTGCTTTCATAACAAGTCGATCGAAATTTTTCAAACTTGTGAGAATGGGAAATGCTCTGTCATAATCAAGTTCTTCCATGTCATCAACACCCAGTCTGATTGAATTGAGATACCTTATCAAAGGTTTGGAATTATTGAGAGAAGAAATACCACACACAATGAATAAGCATTCTTTATTTTCTAGGATTTTCTCACTCAAAACTGGAATTTTAAGTTTCCGTCCAATATACAATGGATCTTCTGCTCGCTTAGAACCAAATTTTATATCACCATCCAATAGACTTATCAATAAATCCACACTGATAGTTTTCCTTAAATTTTCATCATTGATGATAACGGAGGATAATGGAAAGTATTGTTTACCCTGCAGGGAAACTTTAATCCTCGTTGTAACATTCAAGTATTCCTCTTTATTCATATCGTCGATGTTTTCAAGAAATTTTAAATTACATGTCTTTTTAATACTGTCGAATTCGGGATTATGGAAAAAGAATTTTTGTGAATCAATAATGACAGTTATTATGTCAAGTTTGTGGATCATTTTTTTGAAAAATGGTTTGAAAAATTCATTTCTAGTTTCAATATAAAATGGAAGTATTCGCTGAGCTACCAAATGAAAATAAAGATGTTTTGTATTCATTTCTACTTCCTTAATCAAATTAAAGCGTTCTCGAAATTTTTCTTGCAAATTCACTGGTAAAGGTTTTTCCCAATTTTCCAATGTTAATGTCTCCTCCTTGTAATATTCCCTCATATATATTATAATGTCACTCCATACAGCGATTTCTGAATATTCTTCATATATCAAAATGGCGTCAAAGTTTTTTATAATGGCCAGTAAAGAATAGTTTTTTGAATGGTTTGTCGGAGGAACGAATACACCAAAAATATATCCTAACAGTTTCGTTTTCACATCAACTTTAGAAATCTTCTCGATGGGATTTTTGGAATCGGCAAAATCGTAAAAATATTTTAACATATTTGTAACGAAATCTCTGTTCATTCCGGTGAATCTTTCTATCTCAATAGGGACATCCTTCGAATGAAGTTGGCCAGCGTAAAAGTAAAACTGACTCAGAAACTCTGAGCAAATATCAGAATTGTTGATTACGTACTCAGTAGAAATTTCCTCAAATGCATTACTACTAATGAAGCTCCTAAAATCTTCTTTTTCGATCAGTTTAAAGCACAGTTTAGAGGGATCCTCACAAGTCATTTCGACTTTACAGTTATTATACAGAATGAAAAACATTTTTGTATTTTCGGAAATATTATTTGAAGAAAAAAATTCTTTATTTTTCATTATGGACTTGTAGGCCTCCTCGAAAGTTTTTAGAGAAAAATCCTTTTGCTGCCGTTTGAACATTTCTACCACTATCAATTTATCACCCTTCTGTTTGTGTTTCAGCTGCATAAAAAATATTTCCCTGCGTTCATCTCTGTACTCTACATGAAGAATCAAATCATCGAACTTGTCGATGTTGAAATGATTGGTGCACAACCAGAAGTCTGCTATTTCACTTTTGAGAAGGCACTTCAAAGCAATCAGCGTTAAAATTTCCCTCTCATAGCATTTTCCAATATCACCCTCCCTTTTTTTCGTACTCATCTGTAAAAGAAAATAACTATATAAAAAGAAAAATCCAGTTCAGGAACGATTCAATAAAAAAAGGAAGGAGAAGGCGAATTAAAAAGAAAACAGAGCCTACATTTTTCAATTGGATGCAAAACGACATAGAGTGTATTTGAGGATTTCCATCAAATATTTGTCTGAAATAATAATAATGATATCGTCGGTAAAGAGAAGTGAACGCGGATGAAATATCAAGATTTTCTCTTCGAGTTGCGCAAACTCTATCCAGACTACTCTGTTGAGATGTTTGTCCTGATTGTTGGAGTCCTGAAAAATTTTAATTGAAACTTCCTTTTTTATACCATTTGTATTTGTAACTAACGTTACTGCAGTTTCGTCCTACAAGGACATTTTTAAACGAATGTCCTTGTAGAACGGAACTACAGTCACGTTAGTTACATTCATTTGAAAATGTCTGTATAGGACGAAGCTGCAGTAACGTTAGTTACGAATACAGATGGTATAAAGACATGCAAGTTTTCATTCCAATTTTTCATGAAGATATCCTGCCACGTAGTAACGGCTACATCCATCAATTTATTGTTGGTGTTCTTGATATCATGGTTCTCTCTCAACTTTCGGATCTCAAGATCATGCTGGATTGCATTATTGGCTCATTGCATCTGCTTGGGACACATGACTCTCGGAGCCAACGATCACAGTGGTGTGTGGTCATTGGTTGGTGATGCTGGCGCGCCCTTCTGACTATTTTAGGTCTTCGGAGACAGGGTCCTACCAGCTCAACCTTGGTGAAAATATAATGTAAAAAAATATAATGAAAATATTCTATTCCATATTCCTCAAAGCTCCGTTTTGAGCCCATTATTGTTTTTGATCTACAACAATTTAATCGCTGCGCGCTGGCATGTCTCTGGTATAACGGTAGAATAATACTCTTTGAATAATTTTAAATATTCCTGGGGTCTTTGCGTTTCTGTTATAAATTACATCTCCTCGGATTTCCCCCCATCCCGTAATCCTTCCCCTGTATACCCAGGCCACTTATATGGGAAAACTATCAAACATTCCCATAATCTACGTGAAGATAGTCGAAGTCACCTCATTATAATGTAGGTTGGCTTGTACAACTCTCTTTGTTACCAGAGGATAATTCTATTCGTTTCTATATATGTGGTTCATTTAGCCTCCACGGGTATATGAAATTGTCTATATCCATGGAGCCACCTGCATGGATATAGGGCTATTTGATCTGAGACGTCGACTGGGATTCCAAATGCTTCGTGGGTGATATCTGATAAGACTCAGATACCGTTTCAATCTAATGAAAACACTTTTCCTACACCAGTAAAATAGCAGTATCTTTCAACGAACGATTCACTAACAGTTTATCATCATCAGAAGAGGATGAAACTAAATATTACAATTTGTGATGGAACTGGCCGATACTTGATGTAAATCCATAACGTATCAAGTAACACTTTATTGTGAGATTTTCACTGAACACTAGTGTTCAGCTTGTTTCACACAGTTTCAGCTTGAGCCCACTTGATGTAATATTGATGAGTCCAAACGTGCTCTGGTATTCCTGATTTGCTGTATTGTTAGTATCCACGATCGTCTTAAATGGATTAAAATGGTTAGCTGAAAAATATCAATTATATCAAACAAAAAATTACAATGTTATCACTCGAAGACGATTGTGGATACTAACAATCGAAACGTCGTGAAGTAACTTGGTTTGGAATCTTTCAATTTTTAATTTTCATTTCTTGTTAATAGTTTGTAATTTTCATCTCGTGTTAATAGTTATTTTTTTTATTTTTGGTTGTTGCTTGCATTTTATTTCATTGTAATTTCAGTTTTTTTCTTTTTGTTTAATATAATTGTTATTTTTCAGCTGACCTTTTTAATTTTATACAGATTCTTTCAAGGATTTCAAATCAATTCATATCATATTAGATAGACAATGGAAGTCCAAACTTATGAAATGCACCATGAAACATTGTCAATCACCTTCAAACAAGAGATTTGATTTTTGGTAGAAGCATAGGCTTTCATGGACCGCACTTCTCGCAACACTTAGCCCGAGTGATAGCCTGAAACCCAGCCTTCTGCGATCCCGCGAAAAAAGCAAATTCTTGATATTTTGCTTCGCGTTGGAGATTTCGAATTAGGTATATTCAGAACCATTGATTAAAAATCGCACTTGAATATGAAAATCACAAACAAAACAACAAAATTCGAAATGTGTGTTGAAATTCGATATTTAGGGTCAAAATCAACTCTCAAGCAACTTCTTCAAATAACCTATTTTGGTATCATCAACTCGAAGCAAAATATCAAGAATTTGCCCTTTTCACGGGATCGCAGTAGGCTGTGTCAAAGGCTGTCACTCGGGTTAAGTATTGCAAAAAGTGTGGCCCATGAAGGTTTTTGGCTGTACCAAAAATAAAAAATCTGCTTTCAAAAATCACTAAAATACAGGGGTGTCTTCATCTTAGATGTGTCACACTGTAAAACAATTTGTTTCATATGACATTCTTCTTGTTCAATGACTGAGGTTGGGTATAAACTAATTGAAAATTTTAATATTATAAGAGAAATATCACCAACTCATTAAACGAACTTTAGAAAACAGATTCAATTATATTTGGTCATTCAGAAGGCAAAGGTTTGAAACTCAATTTTTTGGAATGCTTGAAAATGCATAGATTTCAGATGCTCTGCCAAAAGATAGTTTGCAAATGTAGAATTGGTCTTCGCATATAAGATAATACACCCGTGTTCGTTTATTCTTTGGGGATAGGCTCTTCCCATTTGGCCAGTATGAAGTTTTAGGCAAGAATCACATGTCCACTTTCATTCTCCTGATCTATTCGATAATTAGGTTTTGTTTTGATCGTTTTTAATAGATTTGCTCAAATTATTATTTGTTCTGTGAGTCACGTCCAAGTCTTTTTTTTCAAAAAATGGGCGATGTTATTGGTGGATCCACCAAAGAATGTCCTATGACGCTTTTTGTCGTTTCTTAAAGTGGGGTAGACTTGGTATATGGCTTATTTCCGTGTTTTTTTAGAATGGAGTCGATAATGTCTATCGTGTACCATTGTTAATAGCAATTTGATTGATGAAACTCATTTCTGTCTGAAAATTACTTCCTGACAGTAGAATATTCATCAGTCTATGAAGCATAATATTGAATGCTGCTAGTCTGGGAAGCATGTTTGACAATGTCATAAATTGTTGATCTTAGTAATAGTCAAGTCTAGAAAAATTATTGAATTGTATGCCTACATATCAAATTCAATAAACTTGCCCTACTGCTTATCTACCTGTACCAGTAAACAGACCAAAACTTCACTGTCCGATAGATCAGGAGTAAATATGAATTGATTGTGGACTTTGTGGTTCTTGCCCAAAGCTTCATATTGGTTAAACGGAAAAAATATTTTCCCAAAGAATAAAAAAGCATTGGAGTATTTTCTTTAGTGTGAAGACCCATTCTACATTTGCAAACTATCTTTTAGCACGACTGTAACGTATTACATTTAGAAGAGAAAGGTTTAAAACTCAATATTTTGAAATGCTTGGAAACTAATGCATTCAACAATTCTGAAGATTCATCTATGACCAAACAAAACTGAATTCTTTCCTTCTGTTGAATTTCTGTTCCAATGGTAATCAGTTCATTACATGTCCGTTCAAGCAGTTGGTAAAATCATTTTCATAATGTTCAAACTTTTTATTAGTTTATACCTAAACCCAGTTAAAATTATCAGTCATTAAATAGGTAGAAGGTTATATGATTCAAATTATTTTATGAAGAACTAATTATTTAAAATTCGGTCAATCTGAAGACGCCTGAACAAGCTATTCCATAGCGAAACATCGTTGCGGTTTGGCAAACTGTGCAGTGAAAATCTCACAATAAAGTGTCACTTGAATGCTAGATATTGCAAATAATTTCAGCATCATTGCCTTTGGGGAAATTAAACGAGGGTCAGTAACTAAATTTTTAGTTAAGTGTGTTACTTGTTTTATTACCAGTTGTGTTGTGTTACAATCTAATACAATAAATAATACTACCTTCATTTGATGACCATCATTGTCAAAGGTAATAATGTGTATAAAATGCCTAAATCAATTGTAAGATTCAGTTGCATCTTCTCCTGACTGTACTGACAGTGATAAAATTTATTTTAATTTTCACTATAAAATGTTTATAAAACCACGACACGTATCTTGCTATACAGTAGCTTTCTCAATCCTGATTGAGAAAGCTATTGTATATCCCTGAGGATACACTTATAAAAACACAGTTTTCTCTATTTTCCATGATAGTTTCATATATGTTGACTATTTTCAGTCATTACACCATTTTCAAAACTAACTATATTACATTCAAATCTGAGTATTTATTCCTACATTGCCTATACCTATCATAAATAATTTGATACCTACATTGTCTATACCTGCGATAAATTAATAACAGTATATCGATGAACATAACAAAGAATTTTGTTGAAATGTAGGTTTTGGGAACTGGTTTATAGGTTCAGGAGAGGACTATTGTTTAGATCAAGTTGTTCTTTGGGGATAATGGAATTGGGATTTTTCTTTGACTTGTTTATTTCCATAGATTCCAACAAATTCATCATTTTCCTGCTTTCGCATATGTGGAGGATTTTTGAATCATCTTTACCTATTTTATGTTCATGGTACCTTATATCAAAATTCCTACCAATTTGGCCTATATATGGCGGGGCATTCACCACATTCTAATCGATATGTACAAGATGTCTTCCCTTTGTCTTATTTAGGTTTGCCATTAAATAATCTGTTTCCTAAATATCCGTTGGATGTGTAGGATGTTTAGAATCTATGGAAATGAACAGGTCAGAGAAAAATCCCAATTCTATTATCCTCAACGAGCAACTTGATCTAAACAATAGTCCTCTCCTGAACCTATAACCCGATTCCCAAAACTTACATTTTATCTAAATTTTTTGTTATGTTCATCGATATACTGCTATTAATTAAGGTTATCACAAAAGGTTATCACTGGGCAAAAGTAGATTTGAAGTAGATCTTTCAAGTGGACTGAAGATTATTGTGTTCCTGATATTTCTCTTCAGAAAAAGCCTTGAATCCTTCGAGGGTTTCAAAAAATAAACTGTAACTAATTTTTCTCAAACTCTTTGTCAGTACATCTCTACTTGAAACTAATTCAAATAACTATGTCAGTACTTTGTTCAAATCCATCAACCTTAATTGAATCTTATCATCATATCTAAAGCGCAGATAATCAAGTTTTATTTATAAACATTACATTCTTTGTGACAAAATTTTCAGGAATAGTTTTCTCCCTTCACAACTGTTTCAATTCGAAAGCAGGTCTATGTAATGGAACTCACTTTTTTATACAAATATGTTGATATTCAGGAAGTTCCCAATATGTCAATCTGCAGTAATTTCAATATATTGATACACTGGTCACATACCTTGATTTGCAAACCTTTCTACTCATATAGTTATAGTTCCCGATGGATGTAACGTAGAAGGGACTCAATACCAAATGAAAAGAACGATGTTTCTCTAAAAAGTATACGAAAGTTTCTGTTTATTCTACATGCACTTCCACTCATAGTGAACATTAATTCGCAACTAAAAATAGATAAGCACTGGCTCACTAATTACGATAACACCATTGATACGCAGATATTTGATTCAGAAAAATTTTAAGATAACAACAGAAAGCAATCGTTTGTATTGGTAATTTTATGATAGAAAAAGGATCGTCATCGAGAATAATATCGATAACTCTTTCAATATGTGATGATGGGAATGCATTTATGATGGAGATCATGAAGACTTGTCTTAAAACTGTAAAAATTGTGGGAAGACGAGTGGTGGAACCTTTCATTATTGATTTCCTAGGTGGACTCATAGTATATAATGCTCAGAAGTTGCTCAGAGAGTTGCGGTGGGAATGTACAGCTCACTAATGAAAGTATCCATATTGAAGTAGTAGGATGAAAAAATCCGACAAAGTTGGTATTCAAAACTGTCGGGAAAGAACAAAATAGCTGCTATAAATATAATGTCCGTTCCGTTCTTACTCTACTCCTTAGGAGTACTGAAGTGAGCTCAGAAAGGAGTGATCCAATGACCTGAAGATTAGACAAATGATGCATCTTTGAGAGTGTTCACCTCTAAAATCGATCGTTCCACAATTATACTTTTCACGACAACAGGGAGGAATGATACCTGCTGGATTTAGCCTGTTTAGTTATCAGAAGTTTGAATCCCCCCTCAATGAATAATTTTCAACCATGAAGAAGCAAAGTTATAAATCCGCAACCACAGAATCAAACAGATCATTCACTAGAGACAAATTACTTGAAAAAGTAGAAAATGTTACTAGCCACATCTGACTATCAATGAAATGATGAGTTATCATAAAGGGTTATATGGACGAATCATTAGTAATCTATCCAGAATGGCGAAATTGAGATGATGAACGATCCTATAGCGTTAATAGGCGATGTTAATTAAAGTTAAAGCATTTTAAGTTGTAGGTGATTGAGTAAAGTTTTTGTGTAGTACTTATTGAAGAACCCATAGACACATTATTACTTCAAATATTGGAAATGGAATAGTTTTTTCAGAAGATATTATTCTTTGGGAAAAACCTTTCTGGCTTTCTACTTCTACATCTTCATCTTATACATCATCTCTCTTCTTATTTAGATTTTTTATATTTCGGTTTCTTATATTATTGTCCTATATACACGGAGTAATTGTTGTCTCTAACAGCTTGCAGCTGTTAAACCACTCGGAAGGAACATATAAAATAAAAAACTCTTCAACTTATATGTTTCGACGATATGAATTCATGAGTTCTGTAGAGCCATAGCCAGTATTACCATCTTATACAATTGTACAACAGTTTTCTGGTGTTCAGATTTTCTAATTCTGTAAGGTTTCTCAAAAATTCATATTATATTTTTGTTTTTCGTCATAAAAGTACAACTGCCAGTTGTATGAGTCCCCATTAATTTTTTTTTCAAACACAGTAACTTGTCGTTGAAATTTAATTACATTTTAAAAGTTTATTGCTTTCAGGGGTATCAAAACCCATAAATACTAGACATGACTTGTCTACTTCCCTATATTGCATTTATAAAATATTGAGGTTGGTTGGTCTCTTTCAGCCACCGGCAGGAGACAACCCAACCGCCCTCAATGGTAGAATTGTGAACAGCCCGTCCTGTTACAGCGAGAAGAATTTGGACATGGCGCTGCCTCCAGGCCCACAGCGGCTGCCCACTAGCCTCGGAGAGGCCCACTTCCCTCCCAGTCACCGAGGAGAGGCTAATCTCACCCCCAATCACCGGGGAGACGACGGATCCAGCGGTTACGGCAGCCCCGATTCCGAAACGTTCGAGCCCCTTCTTCAGCATCAGTGACGGATGCTGTCCACCGCTGCCCACTCTAGAGGAAGGCCGCCCCTCCACAAGCGCATGCCCAAAGGGAGGACGAACAATACCTAACCCAGGTTTATGATTTATGTGAGGTCATCTTCGGATTTGATTGTTTGTTGAAGGTGTAGGTGTTGAAGTATCGGAGAAAACTTTTTTTTTTTCATAGATCGTCAATATTGTATTTAATAATGTGATGATATGGATGTTTTAGGTTATGAGGTATTTACCAATATTTCACGAACGATGTCAATATTATATTCAGACATACAGGGTAACTGTGTCGATAAATATTGCAAAAAGTATGAAGTAAGGCAATTGCCAAGAAAATCATAGGAAATTTCTATAGTCCAAGCTTAAAACAACATTTATATTCTATCTAAAACTCCTTTCGCAACAATGACTGCAATCTCAATAAAAACACTTTTTTCAAATCATACTCGGGCAGGGGCTGCATATTTTTCTGTCCAAGATAAGGAGGACCTGCAATGAAAAATCGGAAACCTTGAGAGACATAAAGTCGGACTTTTTAAAATTTATAAAATTCCGATTGATTCTTGGGATATTCGAAAATAACGGAAATTCGCTGATTTCGTTTATTTCTGATGTCATTGAAGATGATATTGAAAGACAAAAAAACGCGTTCTCATTGCCGCTTTTCAAGCTGTTCAAGATGGCTTTCACAGAGTTTCAATCCGACGTTTCGTCTTCGATAAACCATCACAAATTCTGTATCACACATAATCAAAATTGCCTTAATTTCAAAACGTTACTTGAAAAAGCTCCAAAATTAGCCAATTTTCAATTTAACTGACTTACGATTGCCGATTTTCCCAAGCTGGCTCTTCTTATCTTGGACACACTGTATATTTTCTGGATGCCAAGGCGGTCACCATGATGGACGTGCTTTCTTTACATTTTCAAGTCTCAACATTTCCGAAAAGCAGGTAGTGGGGTGAGTGCGAGCTTGAAAAGAATCATTTTATCATTGTAGCGTGACGAAATAAGAACTCGTTCTAAAATCGTTCAGTTAGCTTTGAAAAATACGAAATTGTCACGTGAGAATGATTACAAGAAAGAAAAAAATGTTTTGGAAAATGAGAGATATTCCAAATCAGATTCATTATTTTCAGATGATGACGATAATGAGATGATGACTATTTTAATGACTACTCGGATTCTTCCTTTGATTCAATGTTTTACTGTCTGGAGAAGAAGATTAAGCAAGCAGTGCTGACCCGGATTGTGAATCACTAGAAAGAGGTAAAAACAATTATTTTGGAAGAAGTTGGTGATAAAAGTCCTGTTACAGAACAGAAACAACAGCAAAAATGAAAATATTTTTGAAGAAGGAATGATTGAGATTTTGGGAGTTGAACCAGATGGTAATGCGGTTAGCGCAAACAGAACTGAAGTTGTAGAATAACATAAAAAGAACCTGTTATAAATCATCAAGCATTTGAGTATTTTGTGGAAGCTAGCGCACTCATGAATGATTCATCTCCATACAACTGTCTTTGTATTTGTCTTGATGATGAAACCATCGATGAAATGGTGGATGAAACAAAATTGTATGCCATTCAGATTATATTAGCAAACAATTGAGACTGCACAATTGGGTTGCAATAGAAAATGCTGAAGTTTATAGGAATTGTGTGGCATATAAGGGTTCAAGTAAAATGTCAACGATTGAAAAATATTGTAGCAACGGCCATTTGTACAAGAATTATATCATTTCCAAGATTTCTCTGACAATCAGAAATATCCCTCTTGCGATTGGTTACATAAAGTAAAACATAATTGATGAACAAGTTTCCAGCCGTATCTGTATCTGTAAAGTAGGGAAGGTGAGTGTGAGCCCACAGCACTTAGGCCACATGTGACCCGTTGTACATCCTCCCGAGGAGTTGCCCTCCTCCCCTCCTAGGTCATCGTCCATCCTGTCCTTTCCAGGAAGGTGGACAGGTCACTGGGAGACATCTCCTTTATATCGGCAGGTGTAGGCCAAGACTCGCCGAACACACACTCTATTATCGACGATAACTCCGAACATTCGCATAGGACATGCCTGACTGTCTCATCTTCTTGTTCACACATCCTGCATAGAGGTGTGTCCACTAGCCCCATATTATGGAGGTGTTTCCTTAGTTGACAGTGGCAAGTCAGAAATCCTACTGTTAAGCCAGCCACTTCCTTGGCTAAAGAGTCGCCAATGCGATTACCCTTACTCCCGTCGTGCCCTTTAACCCACCTCAGGATAATGTTATTATCTACCGAGGCTTTGGCTAAATCTTGGTCACACTCTAGTACTACCCCTGAGGTTTCAAGCCGTTTACATCCCTTTTATTTATGAATATTTATTAATTAGTGATAAAACAATACACTCCAAAGAAAATCCATAAATATGGCGGAAACTATTCAGTCACGGATGTTTTTGAAATTTATGCTGGCCAAGAACACGATGAAGCTGCTTCTGTGCAAACTAATATTGTGATAAAATTATCTTAAAATCTTCTAAGGTCGGGCAGAATGATAATTGCCAATAATTCATACAAGTCTTGAACTTGTATTTTACTACATCAAAAAATACATTACATTGGAGGAAATACAAAAAAGTAATACAAAAATAATTGAAAAAAAGAAGAGGTACTTGGATTGGAAAATAACAATTTATTTTGAAAGGGGGGTTAAAAAAGCATGTGCTTGCCTTATCAACAAAGCATACCACAAAAAATGTGCTACGAATCGCACGTTAAAAGGTAAAATCTCGTCAATCCTTAGCTTGCAGAAGTTTTGAGTTTTGAGAGAGATAGTGTTCAATGGAAAAACCGATTTCAAACAGATTCCAAAACAAATGAAGACATGCGGTAAGCAAATCAAAAAAAACAATCATTTGATATAATAGAGCACACACTTCAGAAATATATTCGATCAAATGTGCAGTAATAATATACCATTATGTAAAGTCGTTAAAATGGTAAGTATAGAAAATGTGTTATAGAAATCACTTTAGCCTCTGTTCTAGTAAAAGCATGCTTCATTTACGATCAACTTGCTAACGAAAATTCGAAAATCACAAATTTTATAAAAAAATCATCATTACTATGAAAAAAATCACTTTATTCTTTTTTTTTATTTTAGAAAATATCGCTATGCCAAAAGGATGAGGGGTGAAGTAGAATGAAAGAATTGTGTTGATTTCATTTAAATGTTTTATCATTCTTCAATTTTCAATAAAAAATGTCTCGCTAACATATACAGCAATATTTGCAGAATACGCAAAATATTTGAAAGTATTTATACATTTCACAATATCTTTCGACCCAATTTCCGGAGAGTCACCATTCTTGAAGGTTTTTTGTTCACAAGTTTCTTGTATTTTCAAATAGAGGAATAAGAATCACAAAGAGCTTTTCGAAGTTATATAATTTCTTCAAAAATTTGTATTAAATTTGGGAATTTGGAAAATTGGAAAGTGAAGAGAAATATCAAGAAATTTTTAAACTATTTTCGAAACTAGATTAGGAAAAAGTGGTACCTATATGATCAACCATTACTTCGAAACATTATAATATCGTATTATATTATTGCAAATCTCTCAAAAATGCTTCTCAGTGACTCTCAAATTCAAATTCTCTCAAATTTTAAAAAATACTCAAAACTGCAATGCAATGAAAAATGGCAATCGATATAAAATCAAAAAATTGGAAAGTTTTCACTCATTGGTATAGGAACAAAAAACAAATTGCATCGATAGCTTCGTATATATCTATTTTATCAATTCAGTAGTTTCACTTCACAAAACAATTTTTAGATTCAATATAGTTTCTTAACTTTACAAAACAAGTAAAACGGTACATTCATCAAAATTATTATGCATTGTCCCTTATATACCTTTGATCTTTTGATTCTGAAGACCTAAAGTGAACATTATTATAAGCAATTAATATTTTCAGAATCCCCTTTGGTCAAGTTTAATTGTATTGTTGAACAAGGTGAATATTATTTCGGCAGAAAAATAAAATTTTGCAAAACTTTACTAGCCTAGTTGTTGCTTGTACTGGAACCATAGATATATTTGTTTCAATGACGTTAATATATGTTTTGAGTGGAAGATAATCAAGCAAAATTGCAAATAGGAAGTAAGTTCAAATGCTATATAAGATTTTTTGAGCAATTTCAGAAATAAAACCCCAAAAAATTTGGTATTTTGAGAAGTTTTCCAATGGCAAATAACGCGAAGAAAGGTATCATATGGTATTTTGGTTTTCTCAAATTGACTCGAAACGTTTTGGAGCAAGTCTTCATACATTTTTTTTTCATTCTAGAAACTTCCTAGCTTGTTACCCTGCACTTCTGATAATCTGATATCTGTAAAATCAAAATATATCTTTCAAAACTTAAAAATATCCATATCTCATATAAACATATTTCAAAGAACACCACTATGATAACTTTGAATTATGAGCAACAACAGTCAGTAATCCAAGAAAAGTCTCTTGGATAGTGAGTTTTTCTGATATTATTTTTCAATTCAATGAAGTTGAACATCGGAATGAACATTTTACTACAATGGAAGTGGTGGAACAGAGGAGTGACAAGAGATTTCGTGGAAAATCATATCAGATTCTTCCTCTTGAAAAAACTACGCAATCAACTCTTAAGGAGTTATGAGCTCAACATTTGAGTTAGATTTATTGTCTACTCATCTGTCTGTTTGTAATTGTTTTCTGAAGTGATGCATTTTTCTTAATTAGTCACTTACCTTCATCTTCAGAATGGAAACCTCACTATTACCAATGTACCCAAGCCAATATAAAATTTCAATTAAATATTTTTGGTGAACATTCGACATAGTTTCGAAAATATTGAATTTGATTTAAACGTTCCGAATCGTATCAAACAAACAAAAAATATTTTTCTTTCAGAATTTGGCCTATTTACCATAAAACGTCCTCAATTTCTCGACCTTCCTATTGTCTTTTTTATATGGTTCCCCCATTTTCCTCTTCCATTTATTAGGAAACACAGAAATGCCACTTATTTTCAAGAAACAAATACAATAATAAGTGAATCTTCTGTGCTCCCGGTTTTTGTAAATTTATTGAATTATTTGCTAGAGAATCAGCTTCAGAATGCAATATACAATTGGTTTATTGTTTGTTGTAACATTATTTATTCATCAAACAATCCAACTGAAAACATATTTGATATTTCAAAGGCAACATTGGAATCTAATTAATTGGACAAATTTAAAATATCTGCAGGCTAAATAATTTATTCATCTAATATTGAACTGCTGAGTAGTCAGCTTCATATTTAAATTTATTTTTCTGATTTTTCTGATCGAAAATGTTGCTCAGAATTGAAAACAGTCATTTACATAAATGTTTTCTTCATAACATATATGTCCAAGTTTTCGAGATATAACATCTCGTTTAAAATTGAATTGACAAAATGTTTACAAGTGGTAGATAGACACCTACATGTCAAATAAACCTGGGTCCTTCGTCTGATCTGTGCAGTGAGTGGCAAAGTGACAACATATATGAGGATCTCTTTTGTGCTAGTCTAACTTGCCAAAAAACTCTACAGACGTTTTACACGCAACAAAAAAGATAAATACGTATTCAACTTTATTTTATTTATACTTCTGTAAGATCTGAAATAGTATACGAACTAAAATTTATTTGGAAATAATGCCACATTCAATATTGAAGGAAAATGAATATTTTTTACTAAGTGAAATTAGTATCAAAATGAATTTACTCGTTTCTTGTAGGAAGTGTCATAATGAAAGGCGTTTGTTTTCCAGTTTTATACAGTAAAGGTTCTTATCTAAGTACCATTTGATTATTTGTTTCATCTAATTTATTTTTAGTTCAAGTATACTACTTTGCCTACAGGTATATTGATAAATGTCACAAATGTATCAACCGTTTGTATAATCTCAGGTTTGAGTTGTTTTTTTGTCTATCGTTTACGAGTTGTATACAATTTGAAGTTCTCAGTTGACCTGTTATATGCACTGAAATGAAATTTCCATAAGAAAATAAATATCAAACATACATCATTGAGTAAAAATTATTTTCTGATTATAGAAGTAAAAAACCAAAATAGCTTTTTTCCCAAAGAAGTAATTCCTAATAAATCACAGCATAAAACATTTTAAATACAAGCTCTTATAGGTATATACGAGCACAAATAAAGAAAACAAACTTGAATGAAATCGAACCCTTCAATTTATTACATTACAAAATTCATATGATACGAAAGCTAGCAATAAAATATTCCTTTCTCGATTCAAGTTTATTGCGTTATTATTTCATTCGAATGCTCGGTATAGTGAATTTGTCAATTTTATTTTTTTAATTTAACTTTCAGTTCTGGATTTGTATTGAGTCAAGCAACTTTTAAGTATCTTTGAATTACTTGGCTTATCAAAGTTAATACAATTTCTGTTTAAAAACGATGATACACTGATCTTTCATCTGGTTCATGAAAGTTTATCTAACTTTCTTTCCAGTACTTTTGCAGACACAATCTCTTCTCCACTATAATGTCCTTAACAGAGATTGGAGGGGGGTTATGGTGGTAGAAAAATGTATCAAACAAAATTATCTGATTGATTCGGCCGTGACTTGATGAAGATCCATAGTAATTTCAAAAACTACACTTTCCACACTTTAATTTATATACTCCTGATTTCTCGAATTTGGATCTTTCGTCTTTATTATGTTTAACTAACTTTCCCAAGGTATTATAGTTGTTTTATATGCAATTTTAATAACTCGATTCCTCAAAAATGAAGCCAGTTTCTTAAAGCTCTATAATTTCTATTATCTACCTTATCAATAGGAAAAACGTCTCGAATTGCGTAGAC